CTTTTTCGTTTAATAAGGAAAAATTGTTTTCAATTTTATGATTTAATAATTAATTTAAAGAAATAATAATTTGTTAGAATTTAATTTTATTATTTAGAACGCTTCATTTTTAATATAAAAATGATAAAATCGGATTTTATTTTAAATGAAGCTTTTTATAGATTTATGATAAGTAGAGTACTTTGAAGCAAGATGACGCATACTGTGATCTTGCCTGAGATGGTTCATTATCATTAAAATCTAAATAATTTATTAATAATAAGTTATTTTACCACATAACCTTGCTTACTCTATTAGTTATTCCATAAAATTTGTTTAGCTTAATAATTTTTGTTTATTATTTTAAAGCCACTCGATTTCTCTTTAAATACTATATATATATATATATATAATTAATTAGATATTTTATTAGATGATGATCTAATTAAAGAAATGACTGGTTGATAACAACATTTAGACCAGTACTTCGAATATCATAACATTTTTTATACCGACGTGAGGAGAGGTGCGACTGAGAAATGTTTTATAATAAATATTGTCATATGCAATCGCGCCAAAAGTTATAATTGACCTGCCTACCTTCTTAATTAAATAATTTTTTTTACAATACAATTAAATATGTATGTTGTCATTTAATAAAAAATATGTTGATATAATGTATAAATAATGAATTAAATAAATCTTAATAATTAATAATTCAAGAAATATTTAAAATTAAAAATAACCAAAAAGAATATTCTTTGTATAACTATAATTTAAGAAAATCGAGTGGCGAATGTTTAAAGAATTACCTTGTAGATATTTTTTCAATAATTCTTAATTAATTAAACAAAACATAATTATATTATAATAAAAATTTATAAATTATACTTACGTATAATTTGAACTTTACAATTCAAATTATTTTTTCTGATTAAATATTTGTATTTAATTGGTAAACTATTTTTAAAATGTTGTAAGATTTCATTAAAGACTTTTATTTTCAAAGCTTATCTAAGTTGTTTTGAAACGTGTATTAAATCTAAGAATATTATCAATGAAGTGAGATGCTCGTAACTCAGTGGATACATATACATTTGTTGCACAATAAACTTACAATACCCATACTTATGTAATCCTCTCTAAAGCCTTAACTAGTTTATCTGAAACTTAACCTATTCAGTGCTCTTAATCCTACATACTCTAAACGTATCGATATAATTTTGTTGCAAAAGCTTACGGTTTTCTAAAGACTTTTAAAAAGCTGTAAGCTGATAAATTTGAACGTATATGAAATACTGGAAATAATCTAAATTGAAGCTCAGGTACATCATATTTTGTCGATTGAAGACAGTAATTTACTACACCATATTCATCCCGTGTCCAGTTATTATATTTAAGTTTTAAAAAAATTATAGTTGATTCCCTATTACGGGTATTAAAAAACCGTTGTTGATTGTCACTTAAGTGTTACCATTGTACATAACGAATACTACTATTTTTGAAGATGTATATTTTTAGGTGACATAACACTTTTAACTTTAACAAGCTTTCTTAAAGGTACTTTTTAAAATATCAGTATAATATTATAAGAAAATAACAAAAAAAATTCTAAAGGCTTATTTTTTTAAGAAATTAATTATATTAAAAAGAGTATACTTTAAATTTTTAATATATATAAAAAATTGTTTTTATTTTGATAAAAATATTTCGTTTTTAATTTAATTTTGTATTTATATTTTGTTATAATTGTTGAAATAGGTTTTGTCATAATGGTCGAACCCTTAAAATTATCTTCTATGAATTCTTTCAATAGAAACTTCCTTTTCCTCTCTTATAAATATTTTAAAAAAATATGCAAAATTGTAAAGACTTCCACAAACAAAGGTAATTATGAAAATACGATTCCTAGGAAGTTTGAAGACGACAGATTTAATGTCAACACAACAATTAAATATAATATAAATATTAAAAATAGATTTATATAAATTTGATTGTAAAAATAAATATAATTATTTTCAAGCACTAGACGTATGATACTTTCTAAAATATTAGCAAAAAATCAATTGCATGATTAAATTAGTGTTCATTAGAATGTATGTAATACGTTTTGTTATAGCCTTATGTAAAATTTTGAGTAAAACAAAGAGATATAATTTACTCTATTTTGAAACAGTCTTATTAAAGTGATAAAATTATAATAACAAAGAAAAGTTTAAAAGCGCATTGTTGTCAATCTCCACAGAGCCATTTAGCAACAATAGCAGTTATAAGTTTTTTTACAAAAGCGCTTTGTAAACGCCCTCCGGTTCAATTATCCTGTTCTTATTTATTTTAAATGCCATAAAAGTCCGTTTATTTTGGTTTTTTCTTTTTTATTCTTACTTCAACCAAAAAAAATAAAATACAGAATACAAAATTCCGTGTGATGGATAATCGTTCACGTATTGATTTCTAGTATCATCATCTCCTTAGCTTCTATCCAAACTATTTATGATTGAATCTAATTAATTCTACAGAATTTCTTAGCTTCTTAATAGACAATAATTATTTATAAATTCAAGGTAAATAAATAAAAAAACAAAATAAATTATAAAAAAAATTATGATTCTTGATAAGCTACAAGTAATTTTAGCTTATCAGTATTACACTTACGTTCGGTTGCATGAACACTTACTGAACCAATAATTTAATATCGATTCCGTATATTTTAAAAGATGTTCAAAAACAAAATTATCAATTACCGATTTATGGAATTAATAATTTGTTGGTCGGATTTCTAATCTGTAAAATTTATCGAACTGTTTATCTGTCGCCTTATCAAATTATAAACATATCAATGCAATAATTAATAATACACATTATACTATAACTTATGATTATTAATCTCACCTTAATATTTTAAAATGTGTAAGGTTAATGCCTCTTTTCTTGTTTTCCATAGTTTTATATATGACACTTATAATACGCATAACAAATTTTTTAAAGGATAATAATTCAATTGTAACAGATTATCTGATAAGAGTAATTTATATACAAATTACAACTGGGTAAGTGGTTATAACGTGTTAACCTCATTATATTATGCTATTTACACGATACTTTCATGAAACGATAAATATTCTGTTTAGTAAAACTTATAGAATAGATAGTAGATAGTTTACTGAACAGTATACATGAAACTGGACATCTAAAATTTTGTTTGATGTATAATTTTTTAAATGAATTAATTTCTATACAACGGCGTCCAAGTATGCAATTTATTTATTTGCAAATGGCAAAACTTAAATTGAATTTTTCATTTAAAAAATCATATTATATAAATAGCATTCATTGCAGTGTATTAAACTGATATACGAGTCATCAAATAATTTTTTTTTGGCTACAACTGACATGTTTGGTCTGATCTATTAACATTTTCTATTTAACAGATGTAATAAAATAAATTTGAGGTAGTCATTTGTACTACCATTGAGAAACTAATAATTTGTTAAATATATAGAAATAATCTATGAGAGTTTTGAACAAAAACATAATTTTATTTCTCAATGCTAGTAAATGTATATTTATTACATTGCATCGAATTATTTCATCTCATGATTAACTTCTTATTACCATACTATTGCTTTTTTCAAGTATAATTCACACAATATGAAAATCTTTTACGATTAATAACCTATTAATACATCAATTATTTTACCAAAATGCAGAAATAATATATAGAAAAGAAAAATACATTTTAATAAACAAATTTTTCAAGAACACATAGCTAAATATAAAAATCTAAATCCCATTTTGTGTATTATTTATTTCAATATTTTCTTCCAATATAATAATATTCATCCATAATAAATAAAATTAATTATTTAAAACTGTTTGTATAAATTTAACTAATCATGTGTTCAGTATTATTGGGTCATGTTTGTACACTATTTCTACCTGTATTATTAGTAGTTGCCAAGGTAACAAATTATGATATTTGATACTAAGACAGCATATTTAGTCATTCTTATAACTTAACTAATCTTATAGTGTTAAAAATCAAATAGTTGGTTATTAATTTGTACACAGTTTATTTTTAAGATATTTTATGTTTTTATGAACAAATGTATTAATGAGAAAATCCAAAAATACATTTTTTTGAAAATAAATATGTATGCACATTATGCATTGCACAATATATGACGGTTTAAAATATTAGTTTGTTGTTATCGTTTTATTTACTATATTAAAATATTTTATACTGATTGGGTTATATTGTTTTGGTTACAAAAAATTGATTGATTTAAAAAAAATACCTAAATTTTCTGCTATTTTCAAAGTTTGGTTATAATTTTTTTTTTGAAATTGTATTAATATTTTTCATTGAAAATTGATTAGATGATATTACCACAAAAAAATAAATACAATAATTAAACAAATATTTTTTCAAGAAATATTTTTATGAACAACAGATACATTTTTCAAGCTATTATACAGTAATAAGTTTTAATTGATTGTTTATAATTCACATGGCAATTATTTTTAAGTCCAAATGTGTATCTTTGTTGTTAAATAAAAAGTAGAGAAATAATTAATTTAAAGTTTACTGATTTCAAATTCTTGGATGTATCCTAAAAATTTTCTTACGTACAGAATCATCAAAACTTTTTCTAATAATAAGTATTTTATCATTACATAAATTTAAATATTTACCTTTATAAAATATTATAAGTGTAAAATATTTAACTTAACAATTTTCATAATTTATGTCTAATAGCCGTTTGTACTTTTAATTTATTAATAACGAACAATTCATGTACACAAAAATATGAACCCCATCGTAATTTTTCAGTCACGCAAATATTGTGTTCTCTGTTTATACACGACCCGCATGGTTATAGTATGAAATGCTTTGCATAGTAAATTTTAATATATTCAATGTGAGGTTATTTCAATTTTCATCACTATTATATTAAACTATCCAATAGCTGTTTTCCTACTTCACGTATCATTAATTAGTTTGTTTATTGATTTTCCAGCCTTTTTGGATGAAAAGTCGAGAATTTTGGGACGATGGTTTCGAACAAAGATACAAACAAGTGCTCAAAGAAACTGCCAGTGGCTCTAGTTTTCCTTTAAAGGTAATTTTCAACAAATACAGTTATTCGTTTATTATTCGTAAAAAAAAATTATGAGCAGGTTTGATAAAATTAAATCTAACTAATTAAAGATAATAATTTATTTATAATTAAACATTATAAGAAGAATTGTCAACGTAAAAATAATAATATATTTAAATAATTTTGGTCATTCAATAAATTGAATATTTATCTATTAAAGTAAAATAATTTTTTTCTCTTTAATTTTATTTTTTATTCAAATAATAGTATTATTTATCGATTTAAATCAATAATTGTTTACATTTTATTATAACGTAATTAAAAAATTTAACAGTTAAATTAAATTTAATATTATTTCCATTCGCATATTTGCTATTTATAATGATGATAATCTATTATTTATAAAATTTGAATCTAATAACAGTTTCTCGGAACACCTTAATTAAGCACTTTTCTGTATAAAGTAGATTTTAGTCAATTGTCGTATTTGAATACTATAAAACATATTTGTGTATGACATCTTTTGATAAAAAAAAATAGTGTTTCTTATGAGAAACACTAATTGTTTTTAAAGATAAATTCATTTGAGTTTATTCAATGCGAATAATGTCAATTAAAACATTTAATGTTTTTTAACCTTATAGTATTTTTATATATATCTACTAGAAAATGGATAATAAAATAATAAAAATACATTTAAAATACAATAATTTTGAAATTATATTAATTACATAAAAATAATATAAAATGTCCAATACAAACTTTTACGTTTGTATCTATTATTTACTACAGCGTTTTTGTATGGATAGAATATTATTTCAATTCATTCTACTCGTATGGGATACTCAAGATAAATAAAGTCCTTCTCCGTGTTTGCATTAAGTCTTTAGAAATCATATTCTAAGAGACTTGGGAAATCTTAGAATCCAAAATACCCAGAACTATTGTTGAAGTATACATTTTCAGAAATAGTACATATTTTCTTATTATTTGACGTGTCATTATGTGTACACGAATCACATACTTTATCATTGGTCACCAACGAGGTCAAATGTGTCCCACAAAATTGGTTATTTGCTTTGCCATAACATTAGCTGTCGGTTGTCTGTTATAGAGTTTAAAGGCATATCTGGTGAACTCGCCGGTGGCAAGTCTAGTCTGGTTAGTTGTAGTAATGACATAAGTTAGTGGTAACAAAAGTCACGTCAAATTTCTTTTGACATCTATATATTTTAGTTTTTGTAAGTCTATTCCGACTACATTTTAAATAAAATGTTTCTTTTTCTCGCTGAAATGCATTTATACTAAATTATTATTTGTGTTTTCACTACCTCTTCTTTGGATTTCGGTTTAAAAGATTTAATGAAAGTCAACGGTAAAATAATGTATTGTGCCGTCGAGTTTGATGTTGTGTTAGTGTGTAGGCGTGAAAGCGTTGACCGGAAAAACTAAACTGAGTATTATTTTGTTTCTGCCAAAGACTCTGATTGTAATATTCCGCTAGGATAGTTCCGCGAAATTTACTGTCAACTAATCGTTGAAATAAATGCGTGACATGCACGTTAAAATAAATATTGGTTTTGATAAATGACAATCGAAGTTAGAATACTTTTTGTAACAGACTCTGAACAATACTTCATAAGAGATTTTTAAGTTTACAAAGAAATTACTTTTATAAAATGGTTTTTTTTTATTATTTTTAAATTATTCTACTTGGATATCTTGTTTCATTGTTATTTTACCAATGCATTGAGTTAATTATCCGTCAAAAGAATTTTCTATTGGCATTTTAAGTAACGTCAAATAAGAAAAGAAAAAGAAATAAAATATATATTTTATAACAATTTATAGTCATTATAAGATACGAATTTGTAAAAGTCTATTTTTTATTGTTTGGATTATTTACTTCTACGTTAACATAAATAGAATAATTACAATTGAGTTGTTATCCAATCATAATTATGAAGTTTAAATTATTAGTGGTCGTGTATGATATTCTGCCTGAAACCACATCTTAAATTTATTGAAATTAAAAAAGCTAATAAGCATATTTATTTGTTGGAACATCACATTGCTTATTATTTTATATAAACTAAATTTCTATAAAAAAAAAAAATATATCGTTACAATACATAAAATATGTATACACTCTTTTTTTTAATTATATATTTTTTATAATTAATAATATATCAATTATTTTTACTGGCGCTATTAAAATTTTATGAAAACTTTTTGTATGTATTTATTCCCTCTTTGTATTAAACTCAATAATTCAATAACTATTTCAAATACAAAACGTACAAATAATCAAGCTACTCTACTGAAAACAATTGTTTCTAAAAATTCATCGACTCTCTGAAGATAAAATCTTAAATTTATTCTTTCTCCACTGTAAAAAAGCATGTGTTGAAAAATCAATAATTCTGTTTGTGGCAGTCGCGAGTTGTCATTGTTCTTATTAACTAACTCAATTTCTAAGATCACTTTTTGAAATATAAATCCAGGTCGGTGAATTTAATATTATTTTAACAATAATTATTGTAGAAAAAAATTAATAATTATTAACATTCAACTGATGATGTTAATTATTTGAGTAACAATAAAACGTGTTATATTTTAGTATTAGTATCATTAGCATAGGTGTTATTTTTACAACGTTGAAAAACTAATTAAAATAAGCATTTTTATTTAATATATAAGTATTTACTGCTCATTACTATGGGCTGATTAGTAGTTGCGAACGGATGGCGTGCACTAAGTCCAATTCTGACTTAAAACGGCATTGATTGTAAAAATAGTTGGATGAACATAAAAGTGGAAAAGGTGACGGAAACGAAAATAAATAAGGGAATTTAACGAACTTCGTGCGTGTGCCGGGCAAAGTTCCGTACCGGGTAAGGCGCGAACGGAAAACAAAAGTGAAAAAAACGTATAATCAAACATCATTATGTTCAACTGCCACGGGTACATCGGAAGGGGTGTAAAAACAACTGAGAACTTTTTATAAAGACGTTTGTAAATCGCGTGAATATAATTTCCTTAGTACTTAAAGGATTAACACGTTCAGCATTTGTGTTTCTACTGGCACGTGATAATGTGTTTCTATTCGACATGATAATATTGCACAACTGTGTATAAGTATTCATAACAACAATTGAACGACTTACCGATTTTTGTCATAAATTAAGTATTGTAATAATTTCCAATCGTGTGAATTTACTATTTATTTTGTATTATTTATCAGAGCACAGCCAGTGTAAAAGTTTTGGACGTAAAATACCCGTGAATTTAAAAATTTAATAAATATCACAATAAGTATTAAATAATAATTACTGCGAGACAATTAAAATGTATTAATTAATAAGAGTTGTGTAGCTAAAGGGAGGATAAAAGGGCTATCATCCCTTCATTGCCCAATTGTTACTACTAATAGAACATGACTTTGGCGATAGTAAGAGTTTGTAATAGATGATAAAAAAAAATCTATGCCCTCTAAACTAAAATCCTGGATAAGCCACTGACAAGTAAAATATAATTTATTTATCAAAGCTATGTGCAAAAAAAATGAACAACTGATTCAATAAAAAGAACACTAGAAAATAAAACAAACCGATGGAGTTTTAGACGTCTTAGTGTAATAATAGTTGCCAATTAAAAACTTTTTAAGATCCCACTGTGAAATTAAACTATGAACTGTCATAAAAGTAATCTTTCAACTTATAAGTATACATAATATACACCGGATTTTAATAATTGATAATTACAGCTAGCAGCTAAAAAGAAAAATCTACTATTACAAATCTAACAGTTCTCATAATAATACCATTGAGATCATTCCAGTTTTAAAAAAATTTACCTTACTATATTTTGTCACGAAATTAGATTTTTTCGTATTCAAGTGTCTCAAGGGACAAGAGGATAAGTATAGGCCATTGCACACAATTGCACTTATAGTACTAAGTTGGTGATAAATTTTTTTAACGATGAAATATGTGAAGTCTACAAGAAATTACTTTTATTAATAAAAATTCTCTTAAAAGTTTATGTTTATTAACACTTACTTTTATTGTTAATATAAATTATAACATATGACTGGAAGGGTAATTTATGTTTTAATTGTTTTAGCAGCCACTAAAATATTTAACAATTTTATTGCATGACGTTTTATGTGTTCTCTTACCGAAAAGTTCTCTGCTCACTAACCAAGTTTATTTAATTAAAATATTTCGAGTTTAATGGGTTTTATACGAACATTAAACACGTTACAATATATTAAATTTATACTGTAACAATATTGTAGTAAAATAAATATCAGTATCCCAAGTGTCATTCAATTAATGTATTTACAGCTTTCTTGAGATTTGAACATAAGAAGATTAATTGGCTACACAACTTTTTCAGTAATTTTACATTTTAATTTGTTTTCAAAGATCTCAAAATGAACTAATTTTTACTCGACTGTTCCATTAGATATTTATAAGTGTATTATTCGTTCCTAATAAGCGACATTTTTCTTTTCGTCGTTTTTTAATCTTGTTTCACGCTGTACACCTTTATTTTATAATTTAATTTCCAGTGGTTTTTGTAATTCTATGTAAATATATAGGCATTTTGTCTCTCCTTAATGGAATTTGTTAAAATAAAGAATAGTGCTATTAATAAAAAAAAACTTTTCAAGTATGTGGTACTTAATATTTTTTATGTTCATAATAATTAATAAAAGATTATAATTTCCCTTCATTTATATATATTAACATATAAGTATATTTTGTTTTATTCTGCAGCAAGGCTTGTAACTCTCAAGAATATCACTTATAAATAATGTAATTCTTCACACAGCACAATGTATTTTGTTAAAACTTACATTCACGCTTAAAATAAGATAACTCAAAATATATAAGTGTATATAAAGTTCTTAAAAAAATATGTAATCATTTTAATATTAAAAAGTAGATTAAATTTTACTCAATAAACATCTATGTTATAATAACTTTGATACAAGAAAGCTTTAAATAATCTTC